ATAGATGAATTTGTTCCAAACAACTTTTGTTAAAGTTGATGCAAATTACTCCAGGAGATTCCCAAAGTTTGCTTCTTGAAGTTTCCAAGATCTTTTTAGGTAGAACCAACTGAAATCTTTCTAAAAAAAGTAGTCAAAAAGCTTGTGTCAACAAGCTATGACTTGCTGTGCAAGTTGCTGAGTTGAAGGGAGAAAACAATGGCGAAAAAATGGGTGAGATCTGCATTTTCTGGTCCACATTTTTATTACATTGTAAGTTCAGCATTTTCTGATGAATCCTCAAAATTGCTCTGTTTTTACATCAGATTGAACTACAAATTTCTTGATAATGAAAGCTAAACTAAAACTTTTACAAAACATAAAAGTTATATCTCTTTGAGTTGCCTTTTCAATGCATCAAGAATCATGTTATTTGAAACTTTGTAGGTTGAGAAATAACGGAAATACACTTGACTGGTCAGCAGTCCTGTTCCAGATTTTGGCAGCAAAAATATAACTCTGTATTTCAGTCTTTTGACCATGAAAATGCATGAATTTGATTTCAATTCTTGTTAAGAAATGTAGTCTTGTGTCTTAAATTTAAAATGGTTCAAAAATCATTTTAATAAAATGTTTGTAACTCGAGTTATAGCTGAATCAAAGTATGCCCGGGCAACCAAACCTTTTCTTCTTTGAACATGATTGCATTTCATATTTTTTATCATATTGCACTTCATTGCACTTCATGTCACTCCAAATTTTGCCAAATTTTGCCAAATTTTTGTCAAATTTTAATGTTTTCTTGAATTTTGTTTTATTTAATGAATTATTTATCGTCTTGTATTTTAATGTGTTTTTCTTTCTCATTTTTACAGTTTTATCTTAAGGAAAAAAAAGAAAAAAAAATCAAAATCAAAATCAAAAATCAAAAATCAAAAATCATGACTAATTTACACATTTTCATCATTTTTCACGCCAAATACACTTAACCCATTCCTACACTCAATTCTTTTAACCTTTCTTTTCAATTGGAAATTTCATCATTTTGATCCCATGGTTCCCTCTTGTCTTTGGTAGAAAACATAATTTTTACCAAACACACACACACAAACTCCAACTCTCCCCTCAAATGGACGGTCTCAGCTTTTTCTTGTGCCGCCCAGATAGAAAAGAGACCATCAGAGAAGTAAAAAAAATCCTCCCTCAATTCACTCTCTCGGCTCTTTCTCAAGGCTCCCTCTCATTTTCTTAAAAACAACACAAACAACTCAAACCCAGGACCCCAACTCTCGGTCCCTCTTTGCTTCTCTTAAGTTCACACACCCATCCCCAAATCAAACAAAAGGGGGGAACTAGCGGTCACACCATTAGATTTAGGAATTTCACCACAAAGCTCAACCAAGTGACTGCAATATTCTAGAGGTATTTTTTTTTCTTTTTTTTTTTCAGTTTTGTTTTTCACATTAAATTCATATTTCGTTACTTATTTTCTCCTGTTTTTGCTGCCTTGCATTGTTGCTGTTGTATTGTTAAAAATTTGGGAAATGGCATGAACCATATTTAGGAAAGGAAATGTTTCTTATGTATGCGTATTAACTGTTTGAAAAAATGCCAAGATGGAAAATCGGATTAAAATGTTAATTTTGTACATGTATTGTTGTTAAAATGAATAATCATGACTAGTTACTGGTTTGAGGAGTTTGTTTAATTAAGTTTTGTGTTAATTTTGTAGTCTAAAAGGCAACGAAAGAAAATGAATTTTTAAGGGCTGTTTTGCTTTAATTTAGCCTTTTTATGTTATTTTCTTGTCAAATTAAAATTATAGTTGTAATGTAGAAGTTATAAGGAGGGTTTTGGCATAATTTTTTATGATTTTTGGTGAAGGTTTAAGGGTTTTAAGAAAATAAAAACTGGACTGACTTTTGCTATTTTGGCCATTTTCGGGTCATTTTTTGTAAAAACTAACTTGAAAAACGGATTCTACGCGAAAAATCGAGTTGGGGTGTGTATGCTGATAATTTTTTGTAACCGGAAAAATTCGCCGGCGCCCGGCGGTGCGAGGAGCTTCAGGTCGCCGGGGAAGAAGAATAAACAGAAGGAAGGGAAGAAGAAAGAAAAGAAGAAAAAAAAAAGAGAAGGGAAATAAAAAAAGAAGGATTAATCTTTCCTACACTGACAGTGTATACACTATCAGCGTTGGATTATTGACAACTATGTAAAATTTGAATTTGAAATTCAACTTTTACACACATGTCATGAATCTAACGATGATAGTGTATACACCGTCAGTGTAGGAAAGATTTACTCAATAAAAGAATGGGCTAATGTTTTTTTTATTCTGATGGGCTGGTGGTTATTTTGGGTTGGGTTTTGGGCATGGATTTTGGTTTATTTCTTTTCGGGTTTCGTTTGGGCTGAAGGGATTTTTGGCCCAGAAAATAAACAAAATTTGGCCCAGTGGCCTTGTTTCCTAAGAGACCAGAAACGGATTTGCACTTTAGCCCCTGATGTTTGGAGTAGTTTCACTGTGGCTCAGAACATTTTAAATTTCTTTTATTTAGGTTCTTAAATTAATTGTACTTTGGTCCCTTAACTTTATCTTTTATTTAATTTTGGCCTCTAAACTTTAGAAAATTATATTTTTACCTCCAAAAGTTTTTTAATTTTTGCAATTCAATCCCTACTGAATTTAGACTCTCTTTATTATGATTGTTTCTTTTCTTTAATAGCTAATTATGTTACTTTTGAATATATTTAACTTGTAATTTTTAGTTGTTCTTAAATTTCTAGGCGTTTAGACATATTAAGATGAATTTCTTATCATTATTGTTATTTTTCAATTAAATTGGTGCTATGATTCTTTTGTTTATTTTGAGTATAAATAGGGCCATGTAACTCCATTAGGTCACCACTTCAAAAGGGAGGTACCTCTATTATTATTATTTCAATATCAATTACGTGCTCTTATGTGCTCCTAAGTGTTTATATGTGTTTATATATTTCCATATGCTTTATTTATTTGATTTAAATGTTCATTTGAATTTTCTTATGTTTGTTTAGTTAATTTTTAATTATTTGAGAGGTGTTTAAATACCTCAAGATGTAATAGATAGGTAATATTTTTTACAAAAATTGTAATTAGATAGACCAATGTAATAAATAGGATAAATAGGTTTATTTTATTATACTTTCCCCATTTAGATTGTAGTTAGGCTCCCCGATGTAATAGGTAGGTTGCGTGTTTATGTGACTTATGTGTTAATGGCTTACCCGCTTTCTTTAGGATTTTTGCATCTAGATATTATGCTTATGTGTTACGTGCTACGTGCTCTTATGTGTTTATTTGTTTTAATTTATGCCTATTTGTCTTATTATATATTATTAATGCGTGACGTTACCACACTAGTCCAATGCTAGTTGTGGTTTTTCCCCCTCCGTTTACTTGCTAGTCCAATGCTAGACTCTTAGATTGTTTATGCATTAGATTCATCTTCGTGTGATATTCATTACATTTTCATGCATATTTTCATTTTTAGGATCATTTCTCATTTGCATGATATTCCTTATTATTTTACCCCTATCCTCTATATGTGTTAATTACAACATTTAGAATTGCATCTCATTTAAGAAATTGTATAATAAGTTAGTTCATTTGTTTGTTCATATTAGGAGAATTATTTTTGAACATGGAAATGGGTGATTATAACTTTTTAGTTTAAATACCCATTAATCCATGTATAAGAAAGTTATGTCATGAGTTTTTGTCTCCCGTACCCATTATGTTGTATTTCTATTCTTTGGTCACTTATATCTAGATACATAATTTAAGTTTCTTTTCTTTTCTCTGAATTTCATTCATGTATGCTTTTGACCCCTTCAAGGAATTATTTTGGCTTTCGCAATCAATGTGATTGGTATCAATTAAACCCTTAAATGGACATTTTGTTCCTCTTGATATTTTATAAATTTATATTTGCATCCATATAGGAAACATCCAAATGTGATAAAATTAAGGGTTAGACTAGGAAAATTTTGACTAAATCTAGCAACTAGCTTAGACTAGGTTGAAAGGGTGCTTTAGGTTTGAGTTAATCGAACCTTTGTCTTCCCTTTCTTTAACTGTGACTTCTGAACTCATTTTATCTTGTTTTTCAAAACCCTGGAGTTGTCGAAAAGGGTTTTATTTTATTTTATTTATTTTTGTCAAAAAAAACATTTTTGGGTGATTTGGTACACCCAAATTCAATATCAAGTGGCGACTCCTCTTTTTTTTTAAAAACTCTTTTAGACTAAATTTTGGACCCAAATTTTCGCATTTTTAAAGTCCCATTTTAGGTCTTTTTTCACTTATTTTTAAATAAATCACATCTTTTGTAAATATTTATTTTCACCCCAAAAAATGGGGCGCGACAGAAATCACTTGAAGTCATCAACAATCATGCAAATATATTCTCACTTTATTTCAATTGATGATTGAATAATTAAAACCTACAAAACATGTAGTTTAAATCACTTAAATCCCTAGAATTATTTAAACCACTAAATGTAAATTTTATTAGAAACTTAGTTATTTAACTCTTAAAATAACTGAGACACATAAAAAACTAAGTAATAAAACACACTAAAATTATGAAAAATAAAAAAACTTATCAAGAATCATATTACCACAAACTTGTTACATAGTAAATAAGTACGGCAGAATTAATGCCGTGTCTAATTGGATTAATTCTATGATGGCTTTACTTTTTTGACTGTCAGACTTGCGAGAACTCAAAATATGGCCATAAAATAAATATGGGATAATTTAAGAAACCTCTCTCCTAAAATTTCTCATACTATCACTTAATACTTTTGATATTTTTAAAATCTGTTTGCGATGCTGTACCTTATTTACAATCAAATCTATACACCTGATACATGGTTGATGACTTGTACCCAATTATGGAACTTGTGAAATGTGTAGATTTAGGTTTGAAAGGTGTTGTAGCATTTATCATAACTATTTCGCAAATACACAGAAGGAAATTCCAAAATCTTGCACGCATTACTCAACTTATAATTTTTTGATACACAAGGGCAAGTAGAGGGAGTGGAAACACAAGCAAGGGGCATTTCATCTCCCGACTCGCCATTGATATTATTCAACTTGTATTTTACAACAAAAGTAGTATAAAAACCTGCATTATCATGCTTAAAGACTGGACTAGACAAAGCAGAAAAACACACTTCACAAGTCACATGTCACAACTCAAACTGCATTGATTGCGCCAATTCCTTGAAAACATAAAACTTGAACCACAGTCTTCCTCAAACCGATATGGAGTCAATGAACAAAGCCTTCACGTAGCCTTCAAGGTAAGATGGACAAGTAAATTTATCTTCACGTTGGTCGTAAACAACTTCGCATATTCGTGCCAGATTGAGCATCACTTTGAAAATTTCTCTTGGAATGGTAGTAGGCCTTAAGCATTCTTCATTCATTACCTTCCAAGCATCCTCACACATCTCTTCAAACTTCTTCATTGCCTCTTCCTCTGACACATTATAGTCTTTCATGTAGCATTCAATGGCTGTGCCACTGCCCCTTTCTTTCTCGAACTTCAAATGCGAAGAGTTTAATTAGATTAAACCTTTAATTAAATTGTACCCAAAATTTTTTTATTAACAAAATGAACTGTATGCTATATATTTCACTAGATTCACGAAAGACATGCATGTTCTGCGCAAAGGTTTGCAGAGGAAGTTAACAAGGCTTAAAAACAAGTATAATCATGACATAATACTAGGTCTACTGCGGGAACAGATAGAAATCGGGGTACCTGTGCACATTCCATTATAATGTTAGCACAAAACTAACAAGACAATGAGTTAATAGCTTTTGGAACAATAACTGTGTACCACCACCCCTTCTTCCACCCCCCCCCCCCCAAAAAAAAACGAAAGAAAAAGAAAAAGAAAAGAAGATAGAAACTATAAATTCAAACCTTATGACTGGCGACATCATTAATCAATCTGGCATGTTTCGTAAAAGCGACAAAAAGTTTAGGATTAGTTGACATCCAATTGATAACATCCTCCGAGGCACTATCCATGCCAAGAAAAGCTGCTGCTGCCAGCAGATAGTATGTGCTTGTGATCAGACTATTGCTCAAGTAATCAGCAAAAGGTGGCAATTCATTTGTAAGAAACCACTTTGACTGAGTGAAGCTTGTCCTCGTATAGTTTTCCCACTGACAAAAACAAATGAATGAATGGAAATATTTAACTAGAAATACTGAATCAACATAATAAAATTTGCAATGGAAATTAAAATAATGAATTTTTATTATGGGTTGACACGCATCAAAGATTTAAAGCGTCTTAATATAGCCTTCATCAGATATCAATGCATTAAACTTCGGTGTAATTTATTTGATTATAAAGTCCCACCAATAGGTTTACTTGTAAAACTACGAAGTTAAAAAAAAAACAAAGAAAAGGTTTCTCAGAAAACTTTACTCTGTTTATTTCGGCCCAGCAAGTAGCAACCGATAGGACAGTAGATACATTAACATATAGTCAATCAAATTAAGAACATGGTACCATACTTCTTGAATATACTTGTTGAATGCATAGGTTCTTCGCTCTTTAGCTAAAATTTCCTCAAGCTCTTTATTGAGGCTCAGAAGTGTCATGTAGGTTGTCTTCAAGCATTCTGGGAGTTGATCGATTCCATTGCCATCCCACCTGCCAGCAGAAGCAAAATTTCCAATATAATGAAAATTAGCATGCAGTATCGACCAAGCCAAATTGAACCTAATGTTTTCACTGGTGCTTTTAAATTTAAAGAAAATACCAATATCCCAATGAGTAAAAGAAAATCAATATGAACTATTTTGCATCAAAATGACCGTTCGACAATGTCTGATGTACTTATCTAGACAAATATATTTTTTTAATTGAAAGATTTATCTAATCAATAAATTTTTATATTTAATTTGTAACTCCTAAATTCTTACCTATAAGTAGAGTTCACAAGAATTCGAAATCCTTATATCCTATGAATGCATCTTTCTACTATATTCTCTATTACCACCAAAAACAAGTGCTGGGAAAGACTAAGCTTATTTAATACGTGACAAAGAAGGGTGTTGTGTAAGGTATCGATCTAGCTCTCAGTAATATAGATAGGAGTTGGTGACAATGAGAAAATATTGAACTAGCTACTAGACTCCACAGCTTTTGGTAGAGTGACTTAATTTGCACCTCAATTCATGCCAAATTAATTGAATGGTACTAAATATTACAATATTGAGATAAGAATTTTATTCATTATTTGTAATTGAACAGAAGCGAAGAGTTGTTTTTTTCAATTTGCTGGCCCATAATTAAACTGCCAATTAAGTGATCATTTTTCTTTTTGAGTTTTCAGTCTAAACATTCTGTTTAACAGTCTTTAACCGGACAAGCAAGCATAACAAGTTTGAGCACGACCCATAAGCAATAAGACAACCTTTGTATCATCAAGAAAAAGAAAATCTTAAGCATACCTGTCAACAGCGTCCGTGAAAATTTTAAGTTCTTCAAGAGTGCCGTAAGCATCATAGGCATCATCAACTATTGCAACAAACACTGCTATTTTTGCAAACATCTGTCGAGCAAAAGAGTACTTAGGTTCATAAAAGGTTCCAACCGCCCAAAAGTAGCATTCGACAAATCTTTCCCTTGCATATGGAATTTTTGATCTCATGTCCAATTTCTTCCCCCATCTATATCGTCAAGAATAAGAAGCAATAATTGTACAACCATTAAAGAATCTGTCTAGCACAAATATATAAATGTAGAAAAACATTTGACGTAATACTTGAGAAAAAAATTAAAAAACGAATGATAGTTAAATTGACTAACTCTTTTGGTGGTTTGTCTTTAATAAAACTTCGATAATTAGATGCCAGCTTGGGCGACATAAACCGAGAAAGGAATTAGTAATTTAAAATTCTCATTTTACCAGCCGATTTAGCAATGAAAACAAAACCCTGCTTTTTTGGATATTGTTGCTACTATATAGTCTTAGACTTAGACATTACGAGAGTTGGTGTCTCAATGGGAGTACCTTATTATCTCACAAAGGTCTTGTTTATATAGCATCTGTAACAAGTGGTAATCCAGTTTGGCAAGCCTTAGCAGTAATTTGTTATTAGATTCATCTTCCTCGTATATGGAGATGTAACAATAGGCCTCATATCTTGAAATGCCCTTATGCAGTGGCTTCTCAAGGGCATGTGTTACTTGTTTTGCAAGAGTAGAACCCACATAGGAAAGTCCCCGTTTCAGATGAGTGGTTGTGAAAGCAAGGGCTTCATCTAAAATCTTATCTCCATGTGTCCTCACATGAGCAGCTTCATATAGACTTAGTAGACCTTTCATGTCACTGCATAAGGATTCCTGGAACTTACCATTTCCATCAATGAATTGGTCGAAGATGTCTGTTTGACAAAATATTTAGGCAAACAGTATGTTAGAACAATTACTATTTAATGACTTAATATAGATTACTTTGCACTTTGTCACTGATTTTCTTTTTTCTTTGTCCCTCACAGATTTAGTAAGAAACTCACATACCACAAGAAATATTATAACCATGTTGTCTGAAGAGTCGAAATTGAAGTCCTACAGTAGATAAATCATATTCTTGTTGCTCTCCCAAGTTGGTGCACAGATTGAAAAACTGTTGAAGTTGGTTTTCAATCTCATCCTCAAAGTGATGCAAGATACCAAGTCTTTCTATTTGATTTATAAAATTGAGTTTCTCCATCATGGTTTTGCTGGTTGCCAAAAGCATGCTCATCACTTCTGCCTTTAACATTTCAATCTCTTTGGCACACAAATCATATCCCTGAAAGCACCGCGCAAATCTTTCTTCAATGAGATTTTTATTTAGTTTCTTTAATATTTCATTGAGAACCTGAATTATTAGAGCTTCAGCAAGTTAAAAAAAAAAACAGCCCATACTCAAGATTCAATAAAAATAATAACATATCGATTCCCCTATACATTAATGAAATTGATAACAAGGAAAAAAATGTCGGGGATATATACTACATGAAGTATTGGTAAGACCAAAGGAAATAGCGAAATCAAATGAGAATGGCAAACAGAAGTTCCACTTCGTTCTGTCATATAGGAAACCAATTGGGTTCCCACTCAGGAAAGGAATTTATATTCTACGAACAAAAACATGAGGTGAATCGTGAACTTATGGCACGTAGTTGAAAAGGAGATCTAACCTGATCATCGAGAGTAAATGAAGACATAGAATCGGCCCAAATGTTTTCAGGGAAATCTGCTAATTGACGGACTATCTCATGCTGATTGTTTGAAAGGACGACAGTTTCAGTCGAGGTCGAGGCCATGTTGTTGGGGTAAGTTGAGGAGAAGTGAGCTTAATCAAGTGTTGTTTACTATGGCTACTTTGGTGATCAGCCGGAGGACTTGAAGGACGTATTTATAGATCCAACAACCCAAGTAGTTGTTGGAGGCCAAGCAAGTTAGTTGCACCATCAGTTGTATTTACAAACAATAAAAAGGTTCCAAAATGTCAAGAATGTCTTGATCTAGTGATTAAATTTGAAATCACAAGAATTAGAGACGTCTGAAATTCAAATCCCCTTCCATCCCTCATTTCTTAAATCCCACCTCTGCCTTACTAAAAAAAGAATAATTATTGAAAGGCGATAATTTCAGAAATCTCCCTTGAGGTTTTTAACACTTTCATTTAGCTCCTTCGAGGTTAGGGCTGCAAAGGAATTGAGTTGTTTGCAAGTAGTTCAAGTCTGAGCTCAATTGGAGCTCGGTCAACATCGAGCTCGAGTTGACCGAACTCGAGTTCGAATTCATTCTAAAAAATATTCAGTTCATTAGCTCGCAAGTTGGCTCGATTAAATATATATACCTAATATTAATTTTTTGTTAAGAAAAATTATTATTTTATTTCTTTTTTTAAAATAAAAATATTTATTTTTTATTTTTTAAATCTTGAATTCAACCTCTACATTTTGAGCTCGTCGAGTTCGAACTCGAGTTTGAACTTTATAAAATTGAATTGAGACTCAACTCGATTAGACCAAAGGTCGAGTAGAGTCGACTCGACTCGTTTGCACTCCTATTGTCATTTTAAATGACAAGGGAAGTATGTGTAATTTTAAAAATCTCGAGTTTTAAAATTGCACATACCTCCCTTGTCATTTAAAATGACAATACTACTCTTAAATATTTTAATGAAATTCCCTTGTTTAGTATGCTTATATTTAGAATGATTTTTAATATCATTTTTCATTATTTTTTTTCTTATTCCTTTTATTTTAATTTTTTTTGCCAATAAAACTGTAGAACCACCATTTTTGCCAATTTATTTTAATCAAGTGTAGTTAAAATTATTAAAAAACTTATAGAAAAAAAATTAGGCAAAAAACTTACCTTCCAAACGGACGGAATATTTACACTCTAAACTAGTTACCCTCTATTTGTCTAGACTATTCATACTTTACAAGGAATGTAGATAGAAAAAAGTGCATAGACGCATCATCAGGACCCCACATGTAGAATACGTTCAATACAAAAGGTCTCCATAAATGGAAGCCGGAATGGGGTTCTCCGATAATGACAACTTCCCGGAACTGGATAAGAATATGATTTGTTAAATGTTCCCGGCAGCCAACCATACTTTATTAGTTTATTATATACTATCTTTTTAGTGATTGACCGTAGTACATTGGACCGCCCATAAATAAATCGACTTGGATATGCACACATTTTAACGTCAAAATGAGTGATCTAATTAAACACTTCAATTAGTGGATATTAAGTGGGTATGTTTGAATCACTGATTTCTACTCTTTTTTTTTTTACAAGAGAACTCGCAGCCATTACTTGAAAGTGCGCACTAGATAACCTCCCTTCTGTGCAATAGTCCGTTAACTACACGGAGAGGTAAAAAATGATGGGGAGAAACATCTCGAGAGAATTCACCAAAGAACCCAATATGTAAGTCAATAATCCAACTCTGATCCAAAAGTTTAAACCATTAGGTTTCGGACCCTTACTTATATATTAACTGCTCTTTCTCTATCTTTCGGACCAATGTGTGACATAATCATTTATTCATGAATCTAACAAATCTCTCCCGTCATGAGTAACCCCTCACATTAAACCCAAATTTACAACCTCTTCTTCGAATCTACTTTAATACTCAGTGCAATCTCACCTTATCATCTAAGGTTATCTCTTCTTCCAAACATAGATTCACTCTTTTTTAACATCCAAACTACATTCTAGATTCCTGCCTACCTTTGACTCCTTGTTCTAAGGACCAACTGGTCCCGCTACCAAACCCATGGTGCACCTAGTCCAATACTAGTCAAACTCCTTATCACTTTTGGCACTTCGGTCCACCGTCAAGAAGAGAATTTTCACCGGTCCAATTCCTAGAAGAATTTACTTGCCCATGAGTAGTTTAGTCTCGCAATATGAATCTCTAATATCAATTCGATAGGGAAAAAAACTTCGAGAGAGTCCACCAAAGAGCCCAATATGTAAGTCAGGAACCCAATTTTGACCAAAAAACTTAAACCGTTATGACTCGGACCCTTACTTACATATTAACCACTCCTTCTCTATCTCTCGGACTAATGTGGGATATAATTCTTTACTAATGAACCTAACAAAAAGTACTAGGCAAGTGGATTCAAAATTAACAATAGATTCATAATTAATTATTAAAAGGTGCTAAGTGGATTCCAAAATTTGCAAGGCATATTTATTGTTCTACTCTTTTTCCTTAGTTTTTTCATTATCTTTTTTTTTTCTTTATACATCTTCTTCCCTCCCTTCCAATAAATCTACCAAACTCTTAAATTTTGTGTTAACTAACTTCTTATAGCAATACCTAAACTATGTTCAAGTACTTGTAAAGTTGACACCAGTTGACACTTGCCAAAATCACTATTTTTGGTATTTTGTGCAATTTTTTCTTTTTTATTTTTTCATTTTGTTTGGGTAAAAATATTTATTTAATAAGTTTTTATGTTTCTTTTTTCATCACAATGATATATTATTTTTCTTGCTAAATAGAACATTGAAGAAAAAATTAAGTAAAAAAATAAATGGGTCATGAATAGTTAATAAAGCTACTCTTGCCCATCTAAGACTATCCCCATTAAATGAGTATATATGAGCCAATTAATTTATACTCTTCACCCAATTATGAGTTATTCAAACCTACTTACTCACGCTTATGTGTATGTTGTTTCTTAATTTGAGCTAAGTTGAATTTGAGAAGCACCTCTACAAACCAAAACAAAATGGATGGTGGAACATCTATATCAGAATAACATGCCAAAGTCTATTTCAGCATCTCTAATTAACAAGCTGAAAAGTTCACAAAACCCAACTAGCAAGTCTAAAGCCAATTCTTAGTTGTGTTTTGTCATAGCTGATACGAACCCACCTAGAAGGGCTGAAATCGTATCCCACAAAACCCCGAATCTAGATGAAAAATCAAGTTGGAGTTCCAGAAACTCTTAACCCTTCTAACCCACGAAGTTGCGAATCTTGAATTTAATTTTAACCCGCAAATTAACAAGATAGTGATCCAAGGTTGTTGGTAAAAGATGCCACAACTAATTGTGATTTATTGGTTGATAAGTCGATGAACACTCAAGAACAATTCTCAAATATTCAATTGTAGATCTCTTAGACAAGAGAGTTACAAAACACAAGAGTTTTGGATGGAAAATTTCGTTATTATTCCTCCCCAAAATAACGCGACTTAAGGCTATATTTATAGCCTTTTACAAGATACAAGAACCCTACTCAAAATTGGAAACAAATTATAACTTTCCTAAAACCCTAATTCGGACTTAGCCCTGGTCAACATGACCTGGCTTTATTTCTACATTAAACAACTTAATTAACTCCTAAGTCCTATCTAATTCTAATTAACCAACAATTATTGCTGGAAATAATTAAAGCAAATGACTGGAACTTTTTCCAAACAAACAACACCAAAGAGTTAATAACTAAGTGGTAAATAAACCAAATTTCAAGAAGGGGTCGACTGGAATTTTGGACTTGAATTAATCAACCACTGTAATGACTTGAATCTGAATCATGGATCCTATGTTCGCATCAATAGCCAATTTATCTCAAGGCAAGGCAACATTCTGTACTTCATCTCCTATAGCTGCTAACATGCTGGCTGCAGTAATTGATTTGAATCTAAATACAACTTCATTTCGAGCATGCCAGATCTTATATATAGGTAGTTTTTGCAAACACTAGTTCTCTTCAAACGATCAGGAATGGAATGAGTTTTCCAGCAATGAGCCATCCCTTCCAATTCCTCATTGATGAGCGTGGGATATACATATATCAATTAGCTCATCCATAATCAAGTTTTACATTTATAAAATCCTAAATACTCCACACGCGATTTTTCGTAAATATACGAGTCGTTTATTGTGCATAGGGGTATTAGGTATCGATCCCACAGGAAAGATTTTCAATTACCGGTGGTTTTCAAATTCCTTTATTATTTAGACTATCACAAGTACAAGGAATTAAATCTACACTATAAAAGTAACAAAAATACAATAGAAAGCTTCTAGAGGTATGGAATTCCTTACTACTCTTGCAAGTGACATTACCGGTTAAGTGAATGCTATTATCTTGGTTAATTATGGTGTAATTTCCTAATGTATGTGAAACCAACTCTCGTAGTGAATCAACTATACTTGTAATTAAGCCATACTTACTCTCGCGGTTATGAAATTAACTACAAGATCATTTCTTTTTTGAAATTACATGAAACAAGTCACTAAAATCACAAAGGTGCACCTCTACTCTCGTGAGTGTACTCCCTAGATTTATCACTTCCTTGAACTAGTGTTAAATTCTAATTCTCATTGCAAACTTAACACCTTAACATTATCACAATTAATGGCCAGTTAATCATGATCAGAAAAGCAAAAGTGATAAATAACTTATTCAAAATAATATCATCAAATAACCAAATAAACATCACTAACAAGTTATAGAAAGTTCATCCATAACTTTAGACATAAACTTTAACTAAACATAAAGAAAAGCAAATTCAAACTTGTATTATAGCTAAACATGAAATCAAATACAAAAGAGAAAGTGATAGGAGAGAAGTCACCCTTGTCACATGAGTTTCAAACTCTCCATCTTTACTCTTCAAATCTTCATCCAAATCTATCTACAAAGACAAGAAGAATAAATTACACTAACTATACTAATCTACTCAAACTAATGAACTAAGGAAATTCTAGTGAAGACTACATTTTGTGGAGTTTCTCTAGCCTTCTAAAGTTATGAAAATGTCCTCCATGGCTGTATTTATAGAAGATTCAAGAGCCAAATGAATTGTTTCTAGTTGTCATTTTTGACTCTTGAAATTCTCAAAGATT